AGGGCACCACCCACAGTAGGCTGGGCCCTCCCACATCACTCATCATGAAGATGCCCCTCAGACATGGCCACAGGCCAGTCCAATAGAGGCAATCCCCCAATTGAGGCTCCCTCAACCCAGGCGTGTCAAGTTGACACCAAAGCTATCCAGCACAAATATTCATACAGTTTAAAAGAATAAAGGAGAGTGGGGCATATAGCTCAGTAGTAAAGCGTTTGTTCAGAATGTTTGAGATGGGATTCAACCCCATTTCCCTCAAATCTTGTATTATGTGGATGAGATCTAGTTTCAAGTGTTTCTCCCCACTCCACCCCATGTATGTATCTATGTTGTATGTGTGTATGTGAATGTGCAAGTGCCCCTGGCAGTGTGGAGGCCAAAGATCAACCTCGGGTGTCTTCCTCTAGAGTTTTCTTCTATTGCTTTCTAACTTATTTTTTGAGGTGAAGTATCTCACCTAATGTGACCATTAGACTGGTGGGCCAGTGAGCCCCTGACTTCCTCCCAACATTGAGATTATTAGCAGAGCAAGTACTTTACCCACTGAGCCATCTCCCCAGCACCTTCTCTAAGTTTGGAAGTGAAATTTTCATGCAGCTTTTCTTTCCCTTGACAGTTTTCCCTTCAACTTGCACATGGGCCAAGTGCACAAGAACTTCTGCAGTCTACCATTTTGGGGAGCCGCCTGAGGAACCAGGTATCTGCCTTCACCCAGCTACCAACACCTTCCCTAAAACCCCCAGGCCGAAAGCTCCCTTCCTACACCCCAAAAGCTTGTCGCAAGGCTTTATGGGAAAGGTAGTTTAGCGCTGATGACGGGCCACCAACCCAGCCGCGGATTCTGCGCATGTCTCCTGCAGCCTGACTTCCGTTTCCCTCCGGTGAGACGTGAATTGCAGTCCTCCGCTCTTCTGGGGTCGGCGCCGCAGGACTGGGAAGCGGAGGTTCCGCGGCGCCGGGTGAGGGCGGAGGGAATCCCGCGCTGCTGGGGGCGGCGGTGGGGAGGACCCGTCGGACTGGGTGGCGACTGCTGGAAGGTGGTGTCCGCACCCGGGGATCTGCAGCCCTGTCTGGAGGACGTGGACGCACGTGAGAGCCTGTGAGGCGCTCCCGGGTGGTCCGGCGCTGCCGGGAGGTGGAGCTGCCTGTGCCCGGGATGCCCAGGCTCGGGGGTGCAGCGGGCTTGCCAGCCACACCTACTTCAGACCATCCGCCCTGCAGACCGTCCCCCGGGCTCTCCTTTAGATCTTCCCAGAGCCCGGAGGGCCCTCCAGGCATGTTTCCCACTGCATCCTGATGCGTGCTGTCCGGCTGCCTGTCTCCCTGCAGCGTTCAGGAAGGATCTTCAGGAACTGTCAACTTTCCTTTTATTTGGTAGAAGAAAAAACTGTTTCTGAAGGTTAGTGACTTTTCCAGGATCACAGTTTGTAGGTGAAGAAAAGACTCAGAATTCCAGACTCCCAGGCTGCTACCATCCACTCTGTTAATTGAAAGCATTTCTTGTAAAGCATCCTTTTGATATTAAAGTGAAAGCAGTTTATACAGATTGTTTTTCCTTGAAACACCCCCTTTTATGACTTTCGATTCATTTACTAATCATAGGGTAAGTAATAATAGGGAATTACAACTTAGTCCCAACATATTGGACTAAGTCCCACCTACTTCTGGGTGGACCTGGGGATTGACCCCAGGGCATCAGGCAGTGTTAGGTAAGTGCTTTACCACTGAGCTGCATCTACATACTCTGCCCTCTTTGTATGTTTTATTTTGATGCAGGCTCTCATTTTCCCAGGCTAGCCTTGAATTTACTTGTAGTGCAGGCAGGGTTTGACCTTGACATCCTTCTGCCTCAGGACTGGGAGTAACTGAGACTGTAGCTGGAAAGATAAGGCAAGACACCGGGAGAGGTCAAGAATAGAGTTTTATTTAGCCTGCAGCCTGGCCCTGAGGAGTCAACTCTTAACGTCTACACCAGAGGTTAGGAACCTTTGGGGTTTATACCTTGAGTAGTAGATTACAGTGTCTTTAGTTTGTTTGGCCAACAGTAAAAAAGTTGCTAGATTTTGCAGAATGTGTAAAAAGTTCTTTAAATTCCCTGCTGGAGTGAAGATGGGGAGAAACCACAGGTTCTCCCCAAGACCAGTGGCTCTGTCTGTTAATGTCAGCATTCCAACTGCAAAACTGTCAGCTAATTTTGCAGAGAGAGAGAGAGAGAGAGAGATTAAAATGCATTTTCACATTTCTGTTATCTTTTATAGTAAAACTACAGACTTGTGCCACTATTGTTTAGTTTTTAAAATAATTTTAGTGAAGTGTTTATGTTCCTTCATTAGATGTATCATTAATTTGTCTAACCAAGACCGTTTTATAGATTTTTATGAACAGCAAGAAAGATTTAAATTGTTAAAATCCTGTGGATGCAAGTGTTTACATTTTCCCAGTGAAAAAGTTTTCGCTCAAGAGCTGCGTAATTGTAGTAGAGTAACATTAAGGAATCATCCAGAATCTGTCTTCTGGAAGGGTCAAACAATGTTACTTTCTTCCCACAGAGCATTACCTAGTGGGTGAGTATAGTTTTTTAAAATAGAAGAATTGAGCTGCCCAGATCCAAGATCTTTCATGACCTGTTTTTCTTCTAACCCAGCTGTATCTTCAGACTTGTCAATATTTTTCCACATCAGCACAAGACTAACAAAGCAATTTATTCAAATCTCCCACTTTATCAGACAGTGGATTCTGTGAGAATCAGTACATTAAAATGTGAAGTTAGTCATAGATACAAACCAAACCACAAAATTTGAAGTAGCAGTTCAATACCAGGGCCAGGCTGCATCTTGATATACACAGATGCTCTTTCTTTAGTTACTGGCACAAGCTGCAAATGTGTCCCTGGTGACAGAACGTATGGCCCTGGGTTTTGGAGATGTACTGTTGATTCCTCTAAAGCCAGAGACTTTCTGTAAGAAAACTGGATCATAAAACACAGTGAATAACCTTCTAGTGAGATCCCTGAGATAAATGTTTGTTGCCTTAAAATTGTTCCTCAATGGGAGCAAAAACATTCAATACACAGTTCAACCAGTGTCAAGGTTTTTATAGGAAGTAACGGCTGGCGTGCTGTTACACAACTCTCCATGACCATTTCTTCTTAGTCAGGGGATGTGTACATGTTGTGCAGCCCACAATTAAAAGCTTACTTCTTGGGGAAATGGTTTTGATCTTAATCATGTTTCATTCCTTCCTTGGCACTTGTTGGACTCTAAATGAAGGGAGTTGAATTCCCTGAACTTGTGCTTCATTACTCTGTTGACTGCCCTGTCCTTGAAAATATCCTTTGCTAGCTTTTCAGATTGCATATTTATATATTTTAAGAAGTAGTTACAATAGTGGGTCTTCATATGACTTTTCCAAAAGACCTTCGATGTTGCTTTTCTCTCCCCATACTCCATCCTCTACCCTGCTGTCCTAATCCCTACCCCATTAACCTTTCCTGGTCCATTGTTTCCCTTCCCTCTTTATAGCAGTGCATATTATTTCCCCTCCCTTGAAAGACCACGCTTCTTGGCCCCTTACTAGTTTACTGACCTCTATGGGTAGTCTAAATGAAACACACGTATCCAAAGGTTCAATGCCAGCACCCACAGATGAGCGAGAACTACGATGTTTGTCTATCTAGGTCTTGGTTTCCTCACTCAGGATGATTATTTCCAGCATCGTCCATTTATCTATGAATTGCATTATTTCATTTTTTTCACGGCTAAATAATATTCCTTTGTGTAAATGTACCGCATTCCCCCTTTATTCATTCATAAGGTGATTCCTGTCTATTGTGAATAGAGCAGCAATGGGCAAGGATGAGCAGGTAGTCTGTAGTAGGATGTAGAGTCCTTTGGTTTATGCCCAAGAGTGGTATCTCTGGATCATGTGGTAGATCTGTTTCTAGCTTTTTGAGGAGCCTCCACACTGATTTCCATAGTGGCTGCAGTAGTTTTCCCTCCCACCTGCAGTGAGTAAGTGTTCCTCTGGTGAAGACCAGCACTTGCCATTTCATTGTTTGCTGTTTGTTTGCTATGGTAGTCATTCTGACTAGGGTAGTGGAAATCTCATAGTAGTTTGGATTTGCATTTCCCTCATGGCTAAAGTTGTTGAACATATCGAAAAACACTTCTCAGCCATTTGCATTCAGCCTTTGAGAACTCTGTTTAGTTCCATGCCCCATTTTTAAATTAGATCATTTTCTTGATGTTTGGTTTTTTTGTTTTTTGTTTGTGTAGTCCAGATACTAACCCTCTGTCAGTTGTATAGCTTTTAAATATATTTTTTCCTGTTCTATAAGCTGTGTCTGTACTTGATTGATGGTGGACTTTGCTATATAGTAGCTTTTTAGTTTCATAAGGTCCTATTTGTCAGTTCTTGATTTTAATGCCTGTGTTGTTGGGTCCTGTTTGGAAAGTCCTGTCCTTTGCAAAAAAGTTCAAGTGTATTCTCTACTTTCCCTATCAGATTCAGGGTTTTAATTCGTACGTTAATTCATTAGGAGTTTTGTGCAAGGCGAGAGATAACTATCTAGAGTCATTCTTCCACTTGTGGCTGTCAAGTTTGACCAGCACCATTTTTTATGATGCTACCTCCTTTTCTCTAATCTACATTTTTGGCCTGTTTGTCAAAAATCAGGTGTCTGTAGGTGTGGAGACTTAGATCCATGTCCTCAGTTTTATTCCATTGATCACTGTTAGTTTTTAGGTTTGTACCATGCTGTTTTTATTACTATAGCTCTGTATTAAAACTTAATCTTGGGGATGATATCCCGAGCAGTTTGTTGATCAGGATTGTTTGGACCTTCTTGGGCTTTTTAGGTCTCACTGTAACCCATGCTGGCCTGGGTCTTATGATTCTCTTGCCTTGGCTTCTCAAATAATGGGATTACAGGCCTGTGCCCTAACATATTGTTTGTATTTCTTTTTATAAATTAATCATAGATATGTATTTTAGTGATCTTTCAGGGAACACAGTTCTCATTTCATTGACCGTCATTGCATTTAAGTTTCATTATCATTAGTCCATTAAATTATCTGCGGTTATAGGCTGTCCTAGCCATTTTTTTTTGTGGTTGAAGATGAATTAATATTAAAGCTGATGTAATATGTATATTAAAGACAGAAACTTCTAAGTATTACCTTAGCTGCAAAACTCAAGCATTAATACTTTGTTTTTGTGTTGTTCTATCCAAATTTCACTTTTTTTTTAATTTAAAGAGATGGGGTTTTGTCATGCTACCTAAGCTGAACCCCCATCTCCTGGTCCCTAGAGATCCTTTCCCAGCCTCCTGAGTAGCTGGCATATAGGCTCCTGCCAGACCCACACCTAGCTCTCAATTTCCCTTTGAGTCAGTCTTTCACAAATTACTTTACATGTTTTAATTTTTAATACATTCTCCCATGTCACAGATAAATAGAACTCGAAATTTTTTTTTAAATATTTAGCTTTCCAGACTGTTATTTTTATCTCTACAAGTTCAATGTGTTTTACTCTTTCTGTTGGGTACAGGTGAGTGTACATTAAGGCCATAGAAGAATAGAAAAATGATGGAAAACCTCTTAGTGCCTGGGAATGGGAGCGGTCCAACGTCAGGGCCTGGATGCCCAGGACCATGTGTGGAGTCAAGACCATAGCTGGCCATCAAGGGAGGTGAGAAGTCCGTTCTTGAGAATCAGCCCTCCCAGACTAGAATCTGCAAGTGACAGAAACCCCCCCCTGTCCCCATCATAAGCCCAATAAAGAGGCAAAGCCACTGCCATGTGCAACCTGGGACCTGGGGAAGGGGGTTGTGGGAAATACAGCCACTCAGAGAAGGCTGAAACTGCTGCCCTACATTGGGAAGTCCTCCATCCTCCACTCTGCCCCGAAATCAGCCCACCACCAGATGAATGTAGGACCATGGCTCGCGTCAGTGACCACAGCTCCAGGCTCATGGATGGGAGTGGAGGGACCACAGCTCCAGCTCATGGTTAGGGACCATAGCTCTGACTCACAGGAGAATACTACAGTACCAGGTTCATAGGAGGGGACCATAACTAAGTTCGCAGAAGGAGACCACAGCTCCAGGTTCATAGGAGGGAACCACAGCTGCAGGCTCACCAGAGTGGCCACAATTTTAATGTAGTTCTAACTATTTTCCTGTCTCCATTGCTCTGTCCACATAATTATACTTGTATTTAAGAAAGAACGTTTTGGTTACTGTGCCTCAGACAAAGACAACAGTTACTTGCTGACTTGAATATCTCATTAGAGGGACATCAATACTGGAGACAGTCACCTTTTGCTTTTGCTCAGAGACAGATGGATGAAGAATTTTCTTTTTCATGGTCAAGGATTCAGTTGGCTTTCTGGTGTCTGTTATTTTCACATCTTCCTTCATGGTCAGGCGAGACAAGTGATGACACATCTTACTGGAGCCAGATTTCAAGTACTCTGAAATAGGAATGCCATTTCCCTCTTTTTTTTAAATTTTATTTTTTATTTTTATTTTATGTGTATGCATGTATTGCCTGCAAGTAGGTTAGTGCACCCATGCCATACAATGCATGCAGAGGTCAAAAGAGGCTGTTGGATCCCCTGGGACTGGAGTTACAGACAGTTGTTAGCTGCCATGTGGGTGCTGGGATTCGAACCCAGGTCTTCTGCAAGAACAACCAGTGTTCTTAACCGCTGAGCCATCTCTCCAGCCCCAGGAATGTCATTTCTTCCTTAAAACTCCTCACCTTCACCACATCCTGGTCCTGGCCCTTGGGGAGTGCACAGCAGGGTCCTAGGGGCACAGGAGGCTCCTTACCATCATCTTCTTCATCTTCATCATCTTCTTCTTCATCATCACCTTCCACCACCATGGGCCATTCACCCCACAGCACATCATGCCTCTGCCTTACCAAGTCAAGAGCTGCTGCTGCCACTGTTGCTCCGGCACCCATGACCACGGTGCCACCATCTTGACTGCAGCTGCAAAGCTCACAAATCTTAAGTGTAGAACTTAAATTATTGCAAATCTAAGTCATGCCCCCAAGTGCTAGAAGGTCCAATCAGACATTCTAGTTTTGTAGAAGAATCTCTCATGCTGCTCCCACAATCCTAGTAGCTCCCTGTTCCTTTATTCATTTATATGCAGTGTGTGTCTTCAGTGTCAGAGCTGAGTACTTGTGACAGAAACCTAGTTTGCAAAGCCTAAAATATTTAAAGACTGGTATTTACAGAAGTTTTCACATCCCTAGATAAGTATTTTAAATTTGTTAATGGTGTTGTCTTGTTTAGCGCTCATTTTCCTACTACAGGGTCATAAGGATAATTGCTTTTGTTATCTTTTAAAATATGAATTGCTTTGGCTATCACATTTATATCTAGTTTATCAGAGCTGGTGCTCTTGTATGAGCTAGGTGGTAGGTTACTTTTACCCCAAATGACCTAACAAGAATCAGTTTAGAAAAGTCTACCCTTTCTGTGTGCAGCAGTGTGATACTTATCATAAAGAATGTACAGTCACATGTCTAGGGCTGGTTTATTTTGTGTTGTACTGGTCGGTTGGTGTCCCTCCCTCCCTCCCTTCCTTCTTTTTTGTGTGGTGCATGCATATGCGTGTATAGTTGTGTGTGTTCCCATGCAGAGGCCCCAGCAGGCTTTGGTTCTCTTCCTTTGTTTTTGCCTTGAGACAAGGTTCCCTGAACCTGAAGCTCACCCTTTGGGTTAGGCAGGTTGCCTGGCCACCAAGCTCTCAGGATGCATCTGTTTCCATCCTCCAATGCTGGGGTTACAGGCTGTTTGTGTGGGTGCTGAGGGTTTGAACTCATGTTCTCATGCAGAGCAAGGACTCTGAGCCATCTCTGCAGCCTCTTGTTGGTGTCTTGATACCAGGACTGTGTTTGGTAAACTGCTATTTGCTTGAAGTATCTTTGCCCATCCTTTCATCCTAAGGTGTTTCAAGGTGAGATTTGTTTCTTGAATGTAGTGAAAAGGGGATCCTGTCTTTTGATCCAATAAGCTAAGCTGTATCTTTGCATTGGGGGACTGAGTACATTATACTCAGAATTGTTATTAAAAGATGTGGGGCCTGGCATAGTGATGCATGCCTTTAATTCCAGCACTCCAGAGGCACAGACAGGTGGATATCTGTGAGATCAAAATTACTAATTTTGCTCTTTGTTTATTTTATTATGTTATACATACTTTCAGTTTAGCATTATAACATACTGGTTTATATCCTATATTTTCTTATCAGGTCCTTAAATGCAAGATGATTTTTATTAATTTCCAAAAACCGTAATGGATCCAAATTACCAAATGCTAATTCTCTCCTTCCCAATAACTTTTTACCTTAGTTTAGTGGGAATGTATTCCTGTTATTATTTTCCATTCTCTCCTGAAGAATAAAGCAAATATTCTAAATCATCTTGGTAAGCTGTAGACAGCAATCACAACAGGGATTCATCCCACACATCTTTTTCGATAACAACAAATTATAATTGTTTCAGATGGAACCAAAATCCCAGGGAGTAATATCCTTTAAGGATGTGACTGTGGGCTTCACCCAGGAGGAGTGGCAGTACCTGAACCCTGGCCAGCGGTCCCTGTACAGGGAGGTGATGCTGGAGAACTACAGTCACCTGGTCTCATTGGGTAAGGCTATTTACTGTGTGATGCCAACTAACAGTTGTTAATACCTTTAATTATGAAGCATCTGGATACTTTTTATACTTTAATGATTTTGGGAAACTTTTATCAGAGTTGGGTGTTAAAAGATAGCCGGGTGTGGTGGCGCACGCCTTTAATCCCAGCACTTGGGAGGCAGAGGCAGGTGGATCTCTGTGAGTTCAAGGCCAGCCTGGTCTACATAGTGAGTTCCAGGACAGACAGGGAGACCCTGTCTCAAAAAGACAAAAAAAAAAAAAAAAAAGGATAGTACATGCCTGTGTGTGTTTGAGAGAGAGAGAGCTGTCTGCACATTCATGATGCACGTGGAAGTCAGAGGACAATCTTGGGTGTCAGTTCTGGCGTTTCCATCCTGCTTGAGACAGCATCTCTTTGTTCCTCTCCTGTGTGCATCAGGCTGGCCTGCAAGCTTCTAGGGATTCCCTTGTCGCTGCCTCCCATCTCCCCAGATTGGTGCTTGAATTGCAAGCCTTTATACTACACATCTGCAGGTTCTGAGGATGGAAATTCAGGTCCTCAAGCTTGTACAAGTGCTTCTACTCATTGAGCCACCTTCCTAGCCCAGAAGGTATTTGTGTTCACTTCTCTATGGAGATGTTCAGTGGCTTCACACTCCTGGCATCTATGTTGCCAGCCCATGTCCTTAATTATTTCTGTTAACAGGGTATTGTGTGACCAAGCCAGAGGTGATCTTCAAGCTAGAGCAAGGAGGAGAGCCGTGGATGCTGGAGGAAAAATTCTCAAGTCAGAGCTTCCCAGGTCAGTCTGTTTGTATACTACACAGATGAACATTAGACATACTGTATTCCAATAGCTGATTCAGAGGCTGGCAGTCTCATAACAGTTTTCAAGAATATATTTTTCCCATTGTGGAGACCATTTTTTCTACAAATATATGATGTCTTTGAACATTTTCCCACACACGTCAACCCTCCCCCTTCCCACCCTTCTGCCCTTAGTTTCCTTAGTTCTAGACAGTGCTATTTCTGTCATATCATATATGTATTCTTAATTTTGTGTACGTATATAAAATCTGGGGACCACAAATGAGCGAAAACATGGTATTTGCCTTTCCGAGACCAATTCAGTTTGCTAAATTTCATTATTTCCTGTTACACCCATTGTTGTAAACATGTCATGACTTCATTCTTCTCTCTGGCAGAAAAAAAAACCCCATATATATGCAAACCCCGCTCTGGGTACCGACTTCTCTACTAGTCACTTTACTTTTCTATTGAAGTGATAAAATATCATGACCAAGGCAACTTACAGAAGAGTTTATTCTGTTTATGGTTCTAGAGGGGTAAGAGTCCATAATGGCAGGGAGACACGGTGACAGATGTGGCCAGAGCAGAAAAGTGAGCATTCACATCTCTAAGCAGGCACAAGAAGCAGAGAGAGACAGGAATTCTGGCTAAGAACACTCGAAGCCTACCCCCAGGGAAGGGCTTCCTCCAGCAAGGCCACACCTTGTAAAACCTCACAAAACAGCGACACCAACTATGGATAAAATGTCCAAATACTTGGAGTCCATAGGAGACATTCTCATTCAAACCACCACATTGTCTTACCATAGCTATGTTTTCCTACCTTTTCCTGCTCTGCTAGACTTTCTGAGTACATTTGTTTTATTTTATCACAAACTCATGAAATAGAAAAAAATGTGTTCATGCAATGATTTCCCCACCCCCGGAAAATTGGACTAAAGAAAACCACAGTGAACTATAACATAGGAATTTTGTACAAAGATATTATTTCATAAGATATGTGCTAGTGTTTGTATGGTAAGTTTAATTTTTCTTACTTCTAGAACTTGGGAATGCTAGTCACTTGAATGACAGGAACCAAGAAAATTCATGTAAATATTTGTGGGAAGTTGCATTGATGAATAAGAAAACACTGATTAAGGAACGAGGCAATGAAATAGAAAAACCATTTAACTTAGACATAATTTTTTTTCCTTCCATAGAAATACCCTCTAAGTATGACTCAGATGGAATTAGTTTCAACAATATTTCAGAATTACTTATTAGGAAAACTAACTTAAGAAAAAGTCTTGATGAATTCAATGCCCATGGAAGATTACTGTGCAACATTAAATGTGAGAAAACACTTACTGGAGAGAAGAGTGAAGTTTTGAAAAATAAAGCTATGCTCAGTGATCATATAACTCCTATTCAACATGAAAAGATCCAGACTTTACAACAAAGTTTTGAATACAATGTGTGTGAAGCCATTCTGGAAAAGAAAATGCTCCGCCCACATGAGAATAAGAGCTCAGAAGATAGTGGCTGTGAATGCAGTGAATATGGGAGAACATTCTGTGATGACTCAGTCCTCATGTTCCCTCTTCCTGAAGAGAATCACTGTGAATTTAGTGACTGTGACAAGTCCTTGTGTAGGAAGTCCACGGCTTTCCAACCTGGTGGTGTACATATGAAACACTGTGAGCATAATGAAATTGAGAATAATCTTACGAGGAAGTTATGTCTCTCACAAGTTCAGAAAACTCATAAAAGACAGAAATACTCTGAGTGTATTGAATGTGGCAAAGCTTTCTCTGAGAAGTCACATCTCACACGACATCAGAGAGTGCACACAGGAGAGAAATCCTTTCAATGTAATGATTGTGGAAAAACCTTCCGGGAGAAGTCAAACCTCACTATACATCAGAGAACACATACAGGAGAGAAGCCCTATGAATGCAATCAATGTGGGAAAGCCTTTAGCTACAAGACATCTCTCAGAGTGCACCAGAGAACACATACAGGACTGAAACCCTATGAATGTTCTGAATGTGGAAAATCCTTCTGTACGAATTCTCACCTTACAGTACATCAGAGAACACATACAGGGGAGAAGCCCTTTGGTTGTCCAGATTGTGGGAAATCCTTTTGTCGAAAATCTCAACTTATAGTACATCAGAGAACACACACAAGTGAGAAACCGTATGGATGTACACATTGTGGGAAATCTTTTGGTCAAAAAAAACATCTAGAACGGCATCAGATAATTCACATAGAGAATAAACCCTATGTTTGTAATGTATGTGGAAAAAGTTTCTACCATAAGTCAGTACTCACCAAGCATCAGATAACACATACAGGATTAAAACCTTATGAATGTTATGAATATGGGAAGGCCTTCTGCTTAAAGTCAGACCTCACAGTTCATGAGAGAGCACACATAGGAGAGAATCTCTTCACATGTTCAGAATGTGGGAAATTCTTTACTTGTAAGTCAACTCTCTCTCAACATTTGAGAACACATACTGAGGAGAAACCCTATGAATGTTATGAATGTGGAAAAATTTTTTACGATAAATCAAACTTGACTGCACATAATAGAACACATACAGGGGAGAAACCATACGAGTGCAACAAATGTAGGAAAACCTTCTGCCAAAAGTCACAGCTCACACTACATCATAGAACTCATACGGGGGAGAAACCCTATGAATGTAGTGAATGTGGAAAAGCATTTTCCCAGAAGTCAGCTTTAACTGTACATCAGAGAATCCATACTAAAGAAAAACCCTATAAATGTAATGAATGTGGCAAATCGTTCTGTGAGAAAGCAAAGCTCATTTCACATCAGAGAACACACACAGGGGAGAAACCCTATGAATGTAATGAATGTGGGAAATCCTTTAGTCACAAATCATCCCTCACAATACATCGCAGGACTCACACGGGGGAGAAATCTTGTCAGTGTAATGATTGTGGGAAAATCTTTTTCTGTAAATCAACCCTTGATAGGCATCAGAGATCACACACAGGGGAGAAACCATATGAATGTGACATATGTGGGAAAACCTTCTCTCGAAAGTCAAACCTCATTATACATCAGAAATCACATAGAGGAGGAATAAAATGAATATGGTAAATGTTTAGTCACTTGTCATTCCATATTATACTTCAGAGTTACACGTTGGAGAAAGTTCTGTTGACATACTGAATGTTCAGAACCTTTACTTTCAAACCAAACTTAGTTTACTTCAGAATAGTGCCAAGAGATAAACCCATAGGCTGCAACAAATCTTAGGATAACCTTCACTAATAAATGGCATCCTAAGTTATTACTAATGTAAGACCTCGTGTATTTTTTAAATTAATACACATTCATGAAAAATATAAAATGTCAGAATTTATATTGTGAAATTTGTCAATTTATGTAATATACATAAACCTTTTTGCTTAGAAATGATATAATATTTCACATTGTTCTTTTGGGTTGCATTCAATAATTCTCTAAAACAGTTAATTTGTAGCTGTATGTTGTAGACTGCAGGAATGACTTTTACAACATGTACATAATTAGACTATGACTTTCACCTAAGCTCACAACCAAAAATAACAATGTAACCAGCTCACTGAGCTATCTGCTCCTCATTTGACCTGAGCACACGAGCTTAATTCCTCAGGATCCCACCTTCCCCTCCACCCAGGATAATGAATGTGTGTGTGCATGCTTAAATAGCAAACCAAAGGAAGAAGCATGTTTTTCTCCTTGAAAACTAGAAGAATTGGTAAGTCTTTCTGGAATGTGTTTCTGTATATGATATTCTAGAGCGAGGGATCAAAGGGCAAGATTCTTTGATAAGATAAAGGCAGATCCTAGCTTGTACTTCCCCAGGTCACACTGCAGATACTGTTTCAATACAAGAATGAGTGAAGCCTGGCAAGAGGGCACCAAGAGTCATCTGACAGAACGAGGTCTCAATATTCAGTTCTACTCTTGGCCTTAAAACGAATGCCAAGAATCAGGCTGTTTCTTTATGCAGGCATATCTGTAACCTGGCTTAGAAATGCCACAGTACACTATGTAAATCTTTAAAAGCACCCCACAAACTCCAATTCATAGGAGTAACTTGATGGACTCAAATTCTAGGTGCTGTGCATACTGTCATCGGTTTCGGCAGGCTTTGAGGAACCGTATTGTATACTATGACTTCTGCCTACCTCAGACTTTATTGATTTTTACTACATATACCCATTTTAAGTTGGCTTTTTTTTTTAAGTTGTAATAGGGGATGGAGAGATGGCATAGGGGTTAAAAGCACTAACTGACTTTGTAGAGGACCCAGGTTCATTTCTCAACACCCACATAGCAGCTAACCACCATCTTTAATTCGAGTTCTTAGGGGATCCGATACCCTCTTCTGGCATCCATGGGCATTGTAGGCACATAATGCAAAGAATATACATGCACACAAAACATTCAAACACAAAAATTTAAAATTTTAATATACAAGTTTTTAAACTTTGAGCGTATATTAATTATATGTAACCGTGGGTTTCATTATGACGTCATACATCTTTATAATGTTTTGATCTTCACTTCCCATGACTCTCGTTGCCTTCCTGCTCTTGATGATCATTTCTTCCCAACTAGTCTCCCTTCTCCCTTCATGTGCTTTTTCTCTTTTGGTGACCTAATGAGTTTAATTAGGGCTGCTTACAGAAGCATCAGTGTGAGGTTATTTACAGGACATAGGAAACGTACCAGCAGCTACACCACTGAAGCAAATGTCCCTCACACAGCAACTTTAACTGCTTAATAAATCCTCAAAGGGGGCAGAGCCTCATAAGACCTGCCCCCCTCTGTGACGATGTTGACTGGCCCAATCTTGTGCAGGTCTTTGTGTAGGCAATCACAGCTACTGAGAGACCAAGAGTGCCTCGTCCATTTCATGCCCCGAGGACATCATTCCACAGCACTCTACCCTTTAGTTCTGAGATTGTTTCCATCTTCCCTTCTGTGATGTTCCTTGATCCCTGCAGGAGGTAGTATAATGTTCCATTTAGGGCTGAGCATTCAACAGTTAGTTATTCCTAGCACTTTCATCAGTTTTGAGCCTCTGTAGTAACTGCTACTCACTGCAAAAAGAAAAATTTCTTTGACCAAAGCTGACAGAACTAAACTGCAAAACCAAATATTTGGAAGGCAGTTCCGCAGTCAAATCCCGTCCATTTGGCAATACAGCAGAAGTAGCATCCATATTAGGGGTCTGTTAGGACGTTCCCATCTATAGACTTTTGACCAGGTTCGTAGTACCAGATGTTAATTCCCTCTGAGGGCAAGAGCCTCAAGTCCAATCAGAAATCAGTTGATTACCTCCATAACAAATGTGCCCATTTACAACAGTGGGCACATCTTGTTTGGAATATCAGCATATCGCACAGCAGCCACGGCTGAGAAGACTGTCCATGACAATTCTGGTCCAGCAGCATGCATAGTACCTTCTGGTACAATGAAACTAAATAGCAGAGAGGAAGCTTCTAGCTTAGCTCCAGTTTGGTTATACTACAGCCAAAGCAGACGGTGTTTGATTAAATACTTACTGAAGGCAACCACCAGCAGTGATAATAGCATGTATTGTTTGGGAGTCTTCAGGGACTTCCTGGCCAACAATTCAGAGCAATAGCTCACCCACAGCTCTGAGATTTTCATTAATAAGCTGATAGCTTCTGGTAGCACCTATATTCACTCATGCAGTGTACCATATTTCAAACATTATGTTTTATCTTTATTTTTATTTTATGTATGAATGTTTTTCCTGCATGTGTATAAGGACTCCATGTGTGAGCAAACTTGTAGAGGCTAGAAGAGGGTGTCATGTCCCCTCAAAGTGAAGTTATAGGAGATGGTTGGCTGCCTTGTTGGTCCTGTGAACCAAACCTGGGTCCCCTGGAAGAGCAGCCACTGCTCCTAACCACTAAGCCATCTCTCCAACCCTAATTGTAGGGACTTTTCATGCACACTGTTGATTGATACTCTCCCCCCAACAAGCATGTCCTATAGTCTCTCCAGGTTGATTTACTGCTGGATGGTGACTCTTCTGCAAATAGCTCTCTGAACCAGAAAAGGAAAACATCATCTTAAGTATTACTATCTAGTTGCTCTTGAACATTTTGAGCATTTCCCCCAAATGAGGAAGGAAACCCAAATTTAAAAGAACAAAAGTCTTTTTTTAAATTGAATTTTTGCATATTCCATACATTTTATTTTGATCATATTTAGAATCCCCCCTCTCCTATCTGCACCCCTTCCCCCATGATTTCATGTAGTTTATTATATATGATTATATAGCAAATGTGTGTGTGTGAGAGAGAGAGAGAGAGAGTCCTAGCACTTTAAATTTCCACCTCACATTCACACTTTCACCCTGCACCAACTCTGACTACGTTAGAGTTCCTATGTCTTCTTACTTCATGTATATACTTCCACAGTCAGGCAAATTAGAGGTCTGTGAACCTCAAAACTCTGCAACTTTCTGAGCCCTATGGACACGAGAAGTGTGACACCCCCCCATCTACCCCTAATGAACATCTTTCCCATTGTTTGTGCTACCTGATTTTGGGAACAACAGGACACATGAGCTACCCAGAGCTGGCACTCACAGATAATGCTCCAGGAACACTCCATCAGCAGTCACAGGAATCCCAGCCCTGACATACACGTGACACTACAAACTCTGTCTCTTGCAACCAGACAACACCTAATATTGCTGCCCCAGTTGCAACCCATTACTGCATTGCACTGACTGTAGTTATGAGGTGAGAAGGCATATCCCCCAAACCTAGCCAAGACCACCTTCATCTGACCCATTCACACATGAACATCAAGTGTCGCCACAACTGAACATTAAGCCATACCATTCCAAAACATGACCCACAAAGTATGGAAACTTCAAGTGCTGAAAGAAATGCACACTCAAACTCAGGATTACCAGAGAACTTAACTCACTAATTTCAGATGGATGGTCAAATCTCAACAACAACAACAAAAACATTAACAACATGAAAATGTCTCCTACAAAAATTACCAAACCTAAAGTAATGGCTGCTAATAACAGTGACTTAGGTAAAATTCTAAACAAAGAAACATGATATGTTCAAGGTATTCAAAGAGGACAGAAATAAACATGCATTAATTTAAAGAAAATATGACTAATCATCTGAATAAACAGCTGGGTGAAATTTAGTCCATGTAAGATATGAAAATAGAATTCAACAAAGACATATTAAAGAAAAACCAAATGAAATGATACTAGAAGTGAAAAATCCAATGAGTCAAACAAAACCTCAGTGGAAAACAAACCAATAAAATAGACCATTTGGAGGGCTTGAAGAACAAATAGAGGAACTGGATCATTCACTTAAAGTCAGTAGTAATTTTTAAAGTATAAATGAAACATATGAAATCTGTTGGATAAGAAAATTGTGAATTAGTTGGATATGGTGCTGCACACCTTTAAGCCCAGAACTCAGGAGGAAGAGGCAGGTGGATCTCTGTGAGATCTAGGCCAACCTGGTCTCATAGTGAGTTCCAGGCCAGCAGGGCTACAGAGAGACCCTGCCTCAAAATGATCAAAAAATTGGGAATTATGGTCATAAAAGAAGAGTAGTTATATGTCAAAGGCATATAAAATATTATCAATAAAATCATAGAAGAAGATTCCCTAATTGTTGGGAAAGAGATGACTATTCAGGTACAAGAGGAATCCAGAACACCAAATGGACAGGACAAGAAAATAAACTTTCCATGTCATATTATAATAAAGACATTACTAAATATTCAGAAAAAAGAAAGTGTATAAAAAGTGATGAAGGAGGGGGTATACAGATAGCTCAGCAGTTACGAGCACTTGCTACCCTTCAAAGGACCTGGGTTCAGTTTCAAGCACCCACATGGTGGCTAACAACTGTCTGTAACAACACCTTCTTCTGGTCTCCCTGGGCACCAACCACGCACATTGTGCACATACACACATATAGGGAAACACTCATACACAAAATAAAAATATTAGAAAAAAAAGGTGACAAGACAGAAGAGCTGAGTCAGAACTAATGGCTGCTCCATCAGAATAACAGCTAATTTTTCCATGGAAATTCTAAAAGCCAGAGGGCATACAATACATACTTCAAATTCTGAAAAACCACAATTACCAACCCAGATGCTACATCCATCAAAATTATCTGTCATGATGGAGGAAGAAAGGGAAACTTCTTAATGAAAACAGGCTAAAGAAACCTCCATCCACTAAGCCAACTCTACAGGGGACAGTGGAATGCTTCAAGCA